AGTATGTATGGAGTTGTTTCTGCATCTTCTAATCTATTCCACTGATCCTCAGGTCTGTTTCTTTGCCAGTACCATGCTGTTTTTATCATAGTAGCTTTGTAGTATAGTTTCGAGTTGGGGATTTTGATACCCCCAGCCATGTCTCTGTTGCCTAGAATTGCTTTTACTATTCTAGGTCTCTTCTGGTTCCAAATGAATTTTTGGATTATTTTCTCTAGTTCTGTGAAGTATATTATTGGAATTTCAATCGGCACTGCATTAAATCTATACAGTAGTTTTGGAAGTATGGCTATTTTCACTATATTGGTTCTTCCTACCCAGGAACAAGGGATATCTTTCCATTTTCTTATATCCTCCTTCATCTCCTTTTTCAGAGTGCTGTAGTTTTCAGTGTAGAGGTCTTTTCTTCCTTTGTGAGGTTGATTCCTAGATATTTCCTTTTTTTGGATGCTATTGTAAACAGAACTATTTCCCTAATTTCTCTCTCAGTGAGTCTGCTATTTGTGTATAAGAAGGCTATTGTTTTTTGAGTGTTGACCTTATATCCAGCTACTCTACTGAATCTGTCCATTAAATCTAGAAGTCTTTTGGCTGAGCTTTTTGGGTCTTCTATGTAAGGTATCATATCATTAGCAAATCATGACAGTTTAACTTCTTTCTTTCCTATCTTTATTCCTTTTATTTCTTTCTCTTTTTTAATTGCTGTGGCCAATGTTTTCAGAACTATGTTGAACAGGAGTGGTGATAGTGGACATCCTTGTCTTGTTCCTGATTTTAGCATGAATGTTTTCAGTTTTTGACCATTTAGTGTGATGTTGGCTGTTGCTTTTTAATAGACAGACTTAATCAGGTTGAGATAAAAACATTCTATTCCAATTTTCTGTAGGGTTTTTATCATGAATGGGTATTGGATTTTGTCAAATGTCTTTTCTGCATCTATTGAGATGATCATATGGCTTTTGTCCTTGGTTCTGTTAATATAGTGTATTACATTTATTAGTTTGCGAATGTTGAACCATCCTTGCATCCCTGCAATAAATCCGACTTGGTCAGGATGTATGATCTTCTGGATGACCCTCTGTATTCTGTTTGCCAGTATCTTGTTGAGGATTTT